CAGGGAATACTTTGGCTTTATGTTCTTTATTAATCTATCTAATTTCGTAAGCAAACTAGACATTAAAATGAAATAATCCCATAATATCACTGAATATTTGTAAGCATATCCTAAATGTCAGATGCCCATGGGGTTGAAGAGTACCATATATGCTGGTATACCACATGTACCTTTTCCCCAAAAGATAAGCCCTTCAAAATTGGGGTGTATGTTTTAAATGGAGGAGCTGATTTTTCCTTACCCAAATACAAGCATAAAAATGCTATGTTGTAAAATGGCTTTCAGCTTCTCTCTCAGCAAGGAAGCAGGAGGTGTGGAGTGCTGTGTTAACTCTTAGCTACTCAGCTTGCTGGCTGAAGAAGCTGGCAGCCATTTTGCAATGCAGACTCTCCATAAAAAAGCCTGTCCTTGGCCATGACTTTGCAAAAATATTTTCCCCCTTATAGTCTGTTTTCCAAAAACAAGGTGCTTGTCTTATTTGGGGGCAAGTGGTAGATTAGAAAATATGGTAACTACAGCATAGAGAAAATTAGACTTGCTGAAAGTCGCATAGTGAAAGAGAGCTTTGATAAACCTCATGTGTCCTGACTTTCTTGTGCTGTACCTTTCTTCTAACCAGAGTTTGCTAAAATCTTTTTGAATTCCACAGCTTAAATGCATTAAAAGTCATGAATCACGTAGTACAAGGAAACCAAACTATTGTCATCTTAGCAGGATCCTGGTGTGTCTGTGTACTCCAAAAATTATGATTTTCCTTTGGACTATCTCTGGTTAAGAAAATATCTTGTTACCAGCTCAAAAGATTTTATAGTTCACCCAGTTCTTGGTAGTAGCTTCTATATATCCCAAACTGTGACGGAATACTAAAAAACCAACTTATGTTTTACCAGCTTTGCATAAGAATATGTTAATAGTACAACTGTGCTTCCAGCTTTTCCAGCCAGCTTTTCCAGGCAGGTGCCTTATCACCTGGAATTGAGAGAACTACCTAACAGTATTATTTATATCAGCGTTTCTCAACTTGTGGGTCGTGACCCAAAAGTGGGTCGCAAGAATATATGAAAGGGTCACAAACAAACTTTTAAAAAATGGATCAACAAACTTTAAAAATGGATTCTCCTTTTTAAAAGAGAAAAAATGTGGGAGACCGTGGCTTTTCCCTTGCCTGTGTATGCAGGCAATTGTTTGTCCAAATGGGTACACAAAAATGTCCCTTCAGGCCCTTCTTGTACACCACAGCCACAAAGCACACAAGTATCATTAGGCAAAAATGGCTCAGATGAACATAGGAAGTTGACCCAGCTCCACACAACAGGGAAAGCAAGAAACCCCAACAGTCCTTGTCAGTCTGAGTTAGAGGAAGAGACTTTCCTGATACCAGAACTGGTGATTGTTTGGACCTAGAGTGCCTAAGCAGGACCCAGCAGCCGAGTGCTTGAGAGGTTGCTTAGTACTCCCAGGAGCACCAGTGCTCCCAAGCCAATGGCCAGTGCTTCAGAGCAGGGACTGACAACCATTTACAGTCTGTGGGCCGAAACAACTTGGCTCCGGTCCAGCATAGGCCCAGGTGGCTTCGGCAGCGTATCACTGGGGAGTGGGTGTGTGGACTTGGTCTTTTCCTTGCCTGCACTGGGGCCAGATGGTTGGGAACTGTGCCTGGGCTGCTGCTACTGCTTCCAGCTGAAATGTGGGCTTCATGGGAAGTGTGGGCATAGCTTCCAGCTGCTGGGGAGCTATGCCAGGACCAGGTATCTACAAACTGCTTCCATACTGCTACCGTTTCTGCTCTCCTTTCCCAACTGCGATGCAGGCACAACTGGAAGCTGCCTGGTCCCAGCACAGCTCCTTACTATTGGAAACTGTGTCTGTCACAAGATGAGGGGGGTGAGAGAAGTGGTGACAGCATGGATGCAGCTTGCAGCTGCCTGGCCCTGGCACAGCTCTCCACAGGCTGGAAGCTGCACCTGTGCCACACCTGGGAAGTGCAGGGCTAGGAGAGAATGGTGGCATGGGTGCAGTTCTCAGCTATTTGTCTTCAACCCCAGCATGGGCACAGGCAAAGGCAAAGCTGCCCACCAGTGACGCGCGGCTGAAATCACACAGCCCATGTTGGACTGGACCTTGGGAAGGAGGGTAGGAAGAAGTACGGCAGTGTGGGTGTAGCTCAGGGGTGGGGAAAAATGCAGCCCAGGGGCCAGATGCGGCCCGCCAGGCCATTCTATCCGGCCCACGGGGCCCTTAAAAAATTTAGAAAATTAATATTTATCTGCCCTGGGCTGTCTGTCATGTGGCCCTCAATGGCTTGCCAAAACTCAGTAAGCAGCCCTCTGCCCAAAATAATTGCCCACTCCTGGTGTAGCTGGAAACTGTCTGATTCTGGCATAGCTCCTCACTCACTGCCTGGCCCTGGCCTCAGCCCCAGCGTGGGCATGGGTACAGGCAGAACTTTCCAGTGGCCGTATGTTGCCAATTCATGCCAAAAAATTAAAATTTAGAACTTGAATATGCATTTAAGGATGGAGATTAATACATTCTTCCTCATGCAACAGTTTCTTAACATAGGGCCTTTAAATGAAGTGCCTCAGTGACTGTCTTTAAAACTTGGGTGGCAAACATGAACTGTACTGATTATTTTTCTTTACACTGAAAGTGATTTTAATAGCTTATGGTAATTTTTTAGCTCTAAAATAGGTTTTCATTATTCAGAATTTAATTTTAAATAGTTTGAAAATACGTTTACTTAAAAAAAATCTAATTATTTAAATAGATTTTATATAACCTGGAGGGTAGTGCACAGTTCTAACTGTTTAGGATGCTAACTTTGTTTTTGTTCACAGATTTCTGGGTATATATTTGCCATTCTTGGCATTTGATTTTCCTAAATAAATCAGTGCTGGAAGAGAGTGTCTTCTAGGGTGTGAAAAGTTATTGAACTTTTTCAGTGGAATCTAAGAACTCTGAAGTCTGAATGTCATCTCACATATGGACAATTGCTGGCCATTAGCAAGGCCTACTTATACTTTGACATATTTTCATTTGATAATTTTAAAATTAGTTAAGCAAGGTGAAGTGACATTAAAATATAGTTAGGGTCAGTTATTTGTATTCTCCCTACAAAATATAATTTTTCCATATCCATAGTTTCACAGTTAGTAGGCTTGGAAGGGACCTAAGGAGATCATCTAGTCTGACCCCCTGCCGTGGCAGGAAAGAGTACTGGGGTCAAATGACCCCGGCCAGATGTTCATCCAGCCTCCATATTTGTGATTTTTTTTTTTTAACCATTACTAACACACCCACAGAAACTGGTGAATTAGTTTTTTTTTTATTTTTATTTTAGCATTATAAGTTAGACATGTTACAAGATTGGGTACAGTGATTTGTATATGTATATATGTTTTATTTAAATATCTTTTAAATTGCATTTGAAATTGAAATTTGAACGTTACAGCAACTTCTATGAAGGCCTACATTTATTTTAACCTCTTAATCATTTCAATAAAATAATAATCCAGCAGTACCTTTGCTGTCAAAAATGTTGAAGGAGTTTTTAAACTACATGAGATGTTGGAAGTTATTGATTAATCAGCTGGAAGTAGGGTTGGTTGAAGTGGATAGAGTTTTTCTTTCATTTCTGTTTATTCAACCACTTCAGTTCAGGGATTGGTTCATTAAAAGCTGTGAAAATATTTGGGAATGGAAAAGCAGGAAAATTTGTTTTCCAGTCTATGAACAATACTGCATGAGGCTGAAATCTACCAGTTTTAAAATCTTGATAGGCATAGCTGCCAGAGCAGCTCACTAAACTGCATTTAAAAAAAAAAATCAAAACTGTGTTTTTCATTTTAACAAAAGCGGGTGGGTCCAACACAATTTAAGTTTACTTTATTATCTGATTTAAATATTTTTTATGCATTTTAAGTTTCTTTCCAAGTGCAGCTTGAGTTGAGTAAAAAAGGAATCCTTTAGTAAGAAATGACTTGTTCATCATTTTTAACATATAAATAATAATCTGGATAAATATTTGTTTTTCTAGATGTTCAGATAGCATATCCTTCAGGGTAGCCAAACATACAAATTACTAGGCATAATGAATCTTGGTTTCTTTTTTAGGAAAATAACTGACAATAGTAAAGGCTTAGCAGGATTAAAATCTATGTTTTAAATTAGGAAGTAAAAACTGTTTACTCACTTATTTTTAAGTCCGTCCACTCTCTTGTATTGTATCAGTGTGTTTTGCCTTTAGGAAATTGAGTGCATCCGAAATCCACAAATAAAGAGAAGAGAAGCTGTTTTGTTGTCCTATATTAGGACTGTCCAATTTCAAAGTGGCCAGAGGTCACAGGCTGCACTAGCGGGCACTGTATGCTGTGGGACAGCACAAGCAGGGACCATGGATCCCCAGGTTGCCTGCCTCATGCACATGTGCAGGTGGATGCTACCCTCCCCCCACTGTACCATGCGCAAGTTGGCACTTCCTTATGTGGCATGGCTCCCTTGTGGCACTGCACTGCACAGCTGCCCCGGGCTGCCAGCTCTCTTGGCACTGAGGTGCTGTGATATGCCACCCTGCCTTTTGGGACGAGGACATGCAGCAGAAGGGAGGGGGAGTCCTGAGACCCTTGTAGTTGCTTGCTACTGCTGGAGCAGAAAATACAGTGGTAGCTGGGTGGGGGGAGCCTGGGGGGGCTATGCGTTAATCGCTTGTGGGCTGCATGTGGGCTTTCGGTTGCCAGTTCGACAGCCTGTCCTTTATAATAGTGGTAGATTTATTTTTGAATTGGTAACATTTTTAATATTGTGCTCTCCTTTTTCTGGCTTTAAAATCAAGAACATAATCATGTTAAAGTAGGTCTTTTTGCTTGTTACTGGTAGCTGCAGATTTTACTTTTGGACAGTAGCACTAGGTTTGATAAAGAGTTTATAATAGAAATAAAATACGTTATAAAATACGGTACAACTTAGTTTATCATTTAAAAAATGTTTGTACTTTTTTTCAGGCTGTTCGCTGCTATGAATCTCTAATATTGAAAGCTGAAGGAAAGGTCGAGTCTGATTTCTTTTGTCAGTTAGGTCACTTCAACCTCTTATTGGAAGATTATCCAAAAGGTAAGTCTTCTATCACTTTTAAAGCTTCAGTTCAGTAACTATAGTACTTTCAGTCCCCCTGCCTCATTTGATTATGGTAACACCACATACCCAGAAATATGGGTTATTTGGTATGATGATTTAAGCGCTTTTTATTGGCTTGCACTATGCTTCAAAGTCAGTAACAAATATAGTGTGTCACTATAACAAGAAATAGTTTTGGAAGAAGGGGATTAAAATAAAATGCTTTCAGTTTTTTCTTTATAAAACATTAGTACTGGTTCATGGATAAGTATGAACATTATACAGGTGTACATAATAATATGATGTGCTCCATTTATTGTGGTGTTTGAATTTTTCAGCAAGAAACTAGGACTATGGTATAATCATAAACATATGACCAAAATAGGCATAGTTGGGGTGACCAGAGTGGACGTCCTGGAAATAAAATAAGATAAATGTATATCTGGCAAAAATGCAACTCAGATTTCTAACCTAGCTGATCTTTGTGTGGCACTAGTCCCAAGGAAAAAGATGGGGACAAAGCAGCATTTTCTCTCTTTCTATCACTGTGAATAGCCAGGGACCAGTTCTTAGCCCAGGATGTAATTTTTAGTAGTCACAGATCTCCTCTAATTTATGCTGGCTGCAAAAAAATAAATAAGCATTGTTCTAGTAGAACTCAAGTTATTCTAGTCATACATGCACTACTGCTTATATGCAGTTTTGGTATCTCCCTTATGTAGTAGCTTTCAGTGTATCCAGCAGCAAATGGACAAACAAACTAAAGAGAATAATTTCCAGGCTTCATTTAGCTGTCAGTATTTTCATCTTTCACAGACTTTTCAGCTTTGGATCACTTGAAAACTGGGTTACTAAAACAATTACTGGCAAGACTTGTCCAGTGCTAGTTCAGTTGTTGAGTTTAGGCTCCTAGCTACAGTACGAACATGGAGTATGCTTGCTGTCGTTTTAAAAAACAAAACACTCCTCTTCCCCAACTCCCCCCCACCCCCAAAAAAAAAAAAAAAAAAAAAAAAGCAAGCCGTGCTTTACCGGAAGCAACAGTGCATTACTTCAACTCAGCTTTCCAGCATCTAAACAGATTGGGTGCTTCAGCCGGGCTTATGATTCAATCAGCTATTAGATAAAAGCACCAAAAAAGCCCACTAAAGTGCCTGATCTTTACAGCCATCAGGTGAGCTGGGTTGAAGTAACTTGCTGCCTGTCACGGGCATGCACAGGGCCCAGCGTGAGAATGCACCAAGCAAAAAATAAAATACTGTTTGTTTGTTTGTTTGTTTTTTAACATCTGAAAGCACCTGGAAAATGGTAAAATAGCCATTTTACTTCACTCCAGCACCAGATGGAGAGAACAGTTTTTAACATTAGTGTGTTGTTTTAATCTCAGAGAGTACAGACAATATTAAATATGGTCTTCCTGCAAACATAGGAGCTGCTGTGGACAGCAGACTTCTCAAAAATTTGATAGATACTTTCTAAGAAGGTAGGTTGGGGGAATTCATAAATGGAAATATCTCAACACAGCAAAATGGTCCTTTTGGTTTTCTATGGATAACTTGACCACTTACCACCAGTATGCATCACTGGTAACACCCTTAATTTGGATTGGTTGTTAGGGGTTGGAATCTCTTGGATGGACAAACATCTTTCATTTCTCCTTGAGTTTTATTTTAACTAAAACTAGTGAATTGCCCATCAAGAATGATGTGGGGGAGGGGTGGGCAGGGATGGAGTGCCGGTACCAACCACCCTGTGCTGCTGCCACCTCCCAGGAGCAGGGCTGGGGGGGGGAAGCTTGCTCCACCATCCCCTCTCCCCTTCTGCCAGCACCCTGTGCCACCGCTGCCTCTAGCGCTGCTGGCTTCTCCCCCCCCCCCCCCCTTACTCCTTGGAGGTGGCAGAGTGCCACCATGACGGTAGGGATAGAGTGTAGGGAGGAGGCCAGCAGCCGGGGAAGCTTGTGGCAGAAGCGAACATGCCCCAGCTGCTCAAACAGTGGGGCTTCCCCATGCCTCCCTGCCTGAGGACAAAGGGGGGGGCGGTCACGGTGGTGGTGCCCCGCCCCCCATTCCCTGCAGAACAGCTGGCAGGGAAGGGAGTGGGGTGGGAGGAGACAAAGGCGGGGTTCACGGTGGCAGCTGTTGTCAGGGCTGGGGATTGGGGAGGGAGGGAGTGGAGTGGGCAGGGGGGCCTGACAACAGCCGGCAGGGAGGGGGAGGCTGTGCAGGTTGGGGTGGGGGGAGGGGAGGGGGGGGGAAGCCCTGCTGCAAGGCAAAGTCCGGGGGGGGGAGGGAGACTGGAGGCGGTGGCGAAGGGAGTCTTTACATGGCTGGATCCAAAGTATGAGCAGGGGGTGGAGGGCAAGGGTGGGGGGAAGCCATGTAAACACTCCCTGAAACCCATCATTTTTGATGGGCAACTACCTGGTTATATAAGAATGGACAGAGGAGAGGAAAAGTTCAAAGGGAGGGAATGTTCATTTGCACTCTGGATGCCACAGCTGCGGTGTGTCCCAATCTTTGATGGCACTGCAGTTTAACAAGGCAGTGAAAAGAGTAAGAATGGGAAAGTGGCAGCATATTTTGCTATGGAATGGATTGAAATAGCCCTTAATGTCAGGAAGAGTTCCTGAATTCCTACTGAGATACTGTTCATAAACCCTTCTTAGGCTCAGGACCAGATTTTTGAAGGCATTTAGCATCCTAGCTTGCATTAAAAGTTTGTTCTTAGTTAAATGTCATTTGTTATGTTTATTATCGATCTGGAAGAAAATACATAATGGCATCAGATTGATTTATACTGACCAGCCTGGATGGGCTGGTAAAGTGGACTCATTAGAAAAATATGCATTTTCATAGAGGAAAGCAAAGTCACATTTTTTAATGTTGATCACATGTATTAGTAGTATACTGGAAAGCAATGACTTCAGAAATAGTTTCACAATAGCATCTTGCATTTGAGCTCCCAGTATAACGCCATAGTGGATGAATGTGGTTTTGGATTTTAAGTGCCAAGGAATGTTAAAAAAAGGGAGTGAAATATGGAATTACCTTATGTATGGCATTAATCAGTTGAAAGCAGGAGTGAGGTGCAAACTTTTGAGTGGGGGCAGTTAATCGTTGGAATGATCTATACAGGAATATAGGAATATGCTAGATTTTTCCATTATTTACAATCTGTGAAGTCGAGATGGCATATTTTTCTAAAAAAAAATGCCATAATTGTATCATAAGTTAAATGTAGTACCTTACGGTATCACTTATTTTTAAACCTTTGTTCTACACTATGCTTGACTGTACCTATCCAATGCATACTTAGCTTTTCTCTCCTTTTCCTTCCCTTGTATTGACACGTTATATTCTTTCTGTGTTTACTCTTGACACATGTCCAAGTGATCACAGCTGCCTTTTGTGGATCTTTTATAATAACTTTTTTTCTGGCCCTAAGCATTTTCTTACCTTTCCATTTTTATTTTCTGTAAACTTGAGAGACGGTTCCTTTTGTTCTTTCTATCTATATCTTTTTTTCCCTTAGAAGTTCCCTGATACTCAATATTTAAATCTACGTAATACTTCCATGCATCAGTTATTTTGTATACGCCAGTTTTCATTTTTATCCAGATCTTAGTAGGTCTTACTGAGTTTTCTAGATGGAATAACACTGGAGTTTTATTTTATATCATCTTCACAACAGACGTTCCTACATACTGATCTCTAGTTTTTTTTCTCTCTGATCTTTTGCATCTTCCTCTTCCTCAGCTTTTAAATGTCATACTTTTTTTAAAATTCCTTTTCTTGTTTTATCTGCAGTTTGAATTTTCTGCTTTCCTGGTCTATCTGGTTTGTTTTCTATGGATCCTTTTGCATCAGTGCTGTGAAGTGAACATCCTCTGTACATCTAAGATTATATATGGTCCACATAACATGAGTTGTTTCATTTCATCTCTTAAATTTAGATCCTTTACTTTAAGAACCAAACAGAATAAATCTGGTGGTAAAAATGCATCTCTTTCACTCCAAGTTGTCTTGAGCCATTCCGTAACTTGTTTACTTTTACTGTACTTATTTCACTGGGATGTCATAGATTTTCAAAACTTGCTCTCAATCCTTTTGGGGTTTGTGGAAGGCATGGGAAATCTTTTCCTGTTGCTCCACTTCCTCTAAGCAACTGGAAATAGTGGAGCAGGCACTTCTCCACATGCTTTTCCCAGATCAGGATCACCCTGGTTTGGGGAAGATGAGGAGAGCAGGAGAGACATGGTGGCTGCAGGCTGAATATTTGTGTACTCCCTTTTGTAGAAAGATAACTAGTGGTGGAAATTTCTCAGAAATTCCACCTGTAGAAACAGCCTTCTGTTCATGGCTGTAACAGGACTGGGCCCCAGGGGCAGTCATGATACCCTCTGGTGGCTGAACGGTTCTTGCCCTGCTCTGGCTCTAGGGTGCTCTACTTTTGCTTTTTCCTGCCACACCTTGATTTACCAGTTTGATCTTAAAAAGGGAGATTGCCCAAGGATTCTAGAAGCCCCAGTCCTTCCTTCAATCAGTGGATCCCTCTCAAAATCTGTTAGCCTGAATCCTGTCTGCGTGCTCTACAAGCCCTCCTGGCCCATCCTAGCCTCCCTGGACACCTGTTGCTTTTTTGGGCTATTTGTGGCCTCCAGCCACCCCTGTAGTCTCACCCATGTCTCTCAGATGTTGACTATCATCACTTCAATGAGGCACTTTGCGCTGAATCAACATTAGGCCTCCTTTTCCCTGTTGCCGCTTCAGCCTTTTTGGCTTCAGCTTTTCTTTTCTGGCTGGCCCCTTAGCCCAGGCCCACTGCACCAGACCTGGCTTCTGGGTTGCAGCCCTCATCTTGCCCCTGGCCCTGGTTCTTGCCCTCTCAGGCTCTGGCCTTAGCTGGCTTAGGCTTCAACCCTCCCCAGCTGCCATCTGGCAATACTTTGGGCATGGCCCCTGGCAGGACTTAAAGCAGTTATGTGCCCCTTGGGC